GATAAGCTTCCCTACATTTCTCAGCCTCGTTTTCCTGGTTTACAAAGTGGAAGTAACCAAAATACCAACCCATGAGATTGTTGTAAGGGAAGTAATTTGCACTGTGTGGTTATCACCTCTCCAGGCTCTTTGAAAGTGAGTGCTGTTGCATGCAGAGAGGGAGAGTGTGTGTGTGTGTGTGTGTGCGCGCGCGCGTACATGTGTGTGCACATGCATGTGCATACGTGAATGCATGTGTTTCATGCATGTGTTTACTTTTCTTCATACTAACATGCTGTTGAAAATTCTGTGCTTTCTTCAAGTTCAGACTAAAACATTAGTTTCTCTTTGAAGCATTCCCTGCTGTGTAAAAAGTAGGAAATCCCCGGGCTTCAAGAGTCTGGTGCCTTGGTCATTCTAGCTGGCTCTGTCTGTGACCTGGTCCTTTCAGGGCCCTCAGAGTCCCCGTCTGTACCTAGGGGACATTGGACTAGTGAGGCTCCAAGGCCCACTCTGGCCTTGATAGTTTATTCTTTTACTTTGGATATTGAAGTGAGCATTTGGTGCCTCATGCCAGGCCTGGCCCCTTAGCGTTTACTGCTCTGTGTTTAATCTCACCTTGCTCCAGGAACAGCTCTCCTTCTCCTTGTTGGCCCTCTATGAATCTGTACAGAATGGAGCCAGAGTTAGACAGCCCCCACCTCATCTCACGGGAGGTAAAATCTACAAGGTGTGCCCCCATCAGGTAAGAGGGTAACAGAGGGATCCTTGGGGTGAGCTTGTCCATGCCAGGTTTTCCACACAGAGGATCTGGTTGATCTAGCTCCTCCTGTGGGAGCTGCACGTAGGTCACTGAGCGGCCTGTGGAGTGGCTCCTTATGGGTCAGTTGCCACCGTTTGGACTAGGAAGGGAGCCTGTGTCATCAGTGGTGAGCACTGAAGGGGTCATTCCTCCACTAGGTGACCTCCTTTAGTAGGGAAATGAAGCCGCCCTGGCTTATGGAGCCGGCTCTGAAGGAACTAGATAGAGACGAGACAGAAGCTAATATGGAGGGACCCGCTGTCTGGAGCAGCCGGTGACGAGCTGCAGACGTGATGTTCCAGCAGAGGGCGGGTGACCGTGGAGTCCTGAGTGGGGAAGCCTCATTAGCCCATCTGGCTGACCAGAGGCCATGGCAGTCTGGCTTCCCTTCTGAGAGTGACGAGGGGCCCACCAGACAGTTCTGGGTCGGAACTGGGGAGGCCGAAATTCAGGTGTTGGTTTACGAAGAGCACGCCTTCTGTACGTAGAGCGTGAACAGGATAGGCACCGGGATAACTCTGGGGAGGTTGTGCACTGTGTGACAAAGCAGGCCAGGGAAGACGCTGAGGTTGGAAGCCCCTGGAACAAGCACTAACCAGGGCGGAGATTGCTGGCACAGCCTTCAGTTCATTTTAGCGTGGGAGTGGACATAGGGACTAGTTGTCAAAAGAGAGTCTGATTATCTGTCACCTTCTTTACTGAAAGCTGCATCTGAAAGACAGACTAGACGCTGGCAGAACAGAGCCTGCTCAGAGGACTGTGTTCATGTGACTGGGGACCATCTCATGAGAACCGTTTGTTGACCACACAGGCCCGTGAGAGCCACAGGGCTCAGGGCTGTGACGGGCGAGCAGGGTTACTACGAGGTGATAGCCAGGATCGGTGGGGGCCGGGGAAGGGAGGTGGAGGCAGATGCAGGGTTCCCTGCTATACACACAGCTCAGCAGTGAAGTGCCGTGGGGGGGTGGCTGTTAGTGGAGGTATTCACTAGTTAACATTGAGGCTTCAGTCTGGGCGGCATATCTGGGTCTTCTGGGGAGCTGCTCAGAATCCAGATGCTCAAACCCCACCCCCAGAGCTTAGCTCCTTAGGTTTGGAGTGGGGCCTGGAACCTCCGTCTTCAGCCAGCTGTCAGCTGCCAGTGCCATGTGGCTGGGGATCGGAGCCGCTGGACTGGACGGTGCTTGTCAGGGCAGTGTGGAGGGTGGGGTTCGGAGCAGATGCCCCTGGGGGCCTCTCCGCCTCGCCTGAAGACCAAGTGGTCCCAGCCGTACTCTCAGGAAGTCAGGGATGAGCTAACGACTTCAGTTAGGGACAGGAGTAGGAGGCAGAATGTGACAGGCTCTGGCAGGATGGCCGGGGCTTTAGTCACAGAACCCGATTATTCCTGGGAAGAAGGCAGTGAAGACTCCACTCAGTCTGTCTGCTGATTGGCTGTTCTGTGTCCTCCATCTCCCTGCCCAGGTGATCTGTGGCTCCAAATATCTCGTGCGGGGCGAAAGCGCCCGAGACCACGTGGATCTGCTGGTCTCTTCCCGCCATTGGCCACCTGTCTACGTGGTAGACATGGCCACACCAGTGGCTCTGTGTGCTGACCTCTGCTACCCAGAGCTGACCAACCAGATGTGGGGGAGGAACCAGGGCTGTTTCTCCAGCCCTGCGGAGCCGCCTGTGGTGAGTTCCCTTTCAAGGAGTGGCAGGAAATCCCCCGGGCTGACCGTGTCTCACCTCCTGGTTCTTTGGGAAGGCCTTATGAGAACCGTTACCAGCATCCTTTGTCTCTCCTACTGTTTTGTCATGATGCTCTGAACCAGCATTTCCTCCACACCTTTTTACCGAGCAGTCCCTGAACCTGTGAGGCCACAGCACGTCCCTGGGGAGGGCCCAGGGTGTCCCAAACACAGGTATTTTGGAGTCAGCAGAGTTGGCCTTCCAGATAAGCCTGGAAAATTGCTGCCTTTCGGAGACGTGATGCACACTGGTGTACTAAAGACCCAGACCTGCCAGGAGTTTGACCGCAAACACGCTGCATGGCATACGTGTTCTGATCTAGAGGCACAGAGGCTTAAAGAACACCGGTCGTGTCCGGTTGTGAACTTCTCCAGTGTTGATAGAAGCAGATTAGTGGCAGAGCCCTTGTCTCTGCTTCTGGTGTTTTGAATGAGGCAGTGATTCTTCCCAGACACCTGTGCCCTTTGCTGGAAGACACATTAGGACTGACAGCAGGAAGAAGGGGCACATCGTTGTCATCACTCACCTTTTCCTTTTTCCCTAGGACTCCCTGGTTCTGCGAGTTTGTGCTAGGCACTGCCAAAAGGCAACAGCCTCAGTGAGGTCCCCCTTCTCCCCACTCCCCTGCAGCCCCGGCCTGAATCTACTAGGCACGGTAATAAGCACCTCCAGTAATCCAACCTGTCTCCTGGGAGGTGGCCTGTTACTGTCCCTGTCCTCACGAGCAGACAGGCACAGAAGAAGAGAGGGGACTTGCTTTTGGAGATGAGGGCACGTGTGGTGGTGAGGGTTGAAATAGGGCTGACCGAGCCCACAGCCTGCATTCTCCCCCACCACACAGCTTCTGCCTCAGCCCTTCCCTCCTGTCAGCGTGGTTTCTTCTCTCCCCTGCAGAGTGTATCCTGCCCAGAACTCTTGGACCAGCATTATACTGTGGATGTGATGGAGGCTGAGCACTCTGTCCAGCACCCGGTCACCAAGACTGCCGCACGGCACATTGTCCATGTAGACACACAGCCCGGTCCCAGCGACCCCAGTACTGGGCACCACTCTTCATCCCTGTGCCCTGAGTTGGCACCCTACGCAGCCATCCTGGCCTCCATCACAGACAGCAAACCAAACAGTGTCCGCCAGCGGCCCATTGCCTTTGACAATGCCACCCACTATTACCTCTACAACCGCCTCATGGACTTCCTCACCAGCCGCGAGATTGTCAACCGGCAGATCCATGACATCGTGCAGAGCTGCCAGCCCGGTGAGGTGGTCATCCGCGACACCCTCTACCGCCTTGGGGTCGCTCAGATCAAGACAGAGGCTGAGGAGGAGGGTGAGGAAGAAGAGGTGGCCGCAGTGACAGTATAAGCCAGGCTCTTGCACAGGGACGGGGACTGCACCATCTCAAGCCATAGTGAGGCCCTTGCCTGAGGCATATCCATCCAGGGAGCCGGCAGGAATGTTCACCTTTGGGGAGGCCTCTGATGCTGGGACTGACCAAAGAACTTCCCTTTCCTGAGCATGATGGGGCGTGGGAGCCATGGTTCTCTACCTCCTAGGGGTCATGAGAAGCGCCAGGACATTCCTTACTAGCCCCGGAGAGCACTTGGGGGACATAGTGTGTTCAGCAGAGGAGAAGGGAGGCTGAGGGAATGCTGGTGGCTGGTGGCTTCCCCGGGGCCTGCTGCGGGTCAGGGTGGAGGTCCTGGGGTGAGCTGAGGCCGAGTCCGGCACCTGTTGTATGTGGGGTGGGGGGAGGCCGCTGAGGTAGCCCTTCCCCCTGCCCCCCCAGGGGAACGCTCTTTCCAGCCCCTGCAGCCACACAACTTCCTTAGCCTGTTGCCTTTGACTTGGGGCCTTTGGGGCCTCGTTAGCTCTAGGGGTCCCTTTGGGCTCTTGATTTTCCTAGAGGAGGGATGCATTTCCCTCCTACTCTTCCTGCACCCAGATTTGGGGGAAGCTGAGGAGGGAGAAACAGCCACAGCTCTCTTCCAGGACTGTCTTCTCTGCCCTGAGCTTTAAGGAAGAGGACCTCCTTCCTCCTTTCCCTGGCCACTGCTGCTGCACCTCACATCCTTTCTGGGCCCTGGATCCTCACCACAGAGGGGATGTGGCCCACTGGCATGACATAACCTGGCGGCAGTAGGAAAAACTCCCTTCTGTGAAGGGGAAGTAGACTGGGCCATAAGGAAACAGCGGGACTGGCTCAAGTGCCTAAGGTTTGCTTAGGGCACGGGAATTGGCCGTGTGTTATTTAATTTATTGAGAGGAGTGGAGTAGGTGGCTTTTTTCCCCTCCTTCTTCCCCCACCAAGAATAAAATTTATTAAATTATCTGTTTTGGTGAAGCAAGAGTCAATTCCACACTCATTGCGGGGATCGCAGTGTGGTTGAACAGGAGAGATGCTGAGCTGGTCACTCGACATGAAGAAGGATGGAAGGAGGTCCTGGGGAGTCCACAGGCCCGCGTGCGGCACAAAGAACGAGAGGCCAGCTGTGTTAATGCCGTTAGTTTAATGACAGAGACATCCCGCAGTGTGCCTGTTAGTCAGGGGGCGTCGGCTGCCTGGGGCGCGTGCTACTTGCTTGGTGTGGCCAGCCACACGGGTCCCCTGCCTTCCAGCTTGGAAGCGCGGGGGACTGGCAGAACCCCGAACTTTTAGCTGCCACCTGGCTCGTTCTAGGGACCAGATCGGGGGGGGGGGGGTGCGGGTCTGTAGAGAGAAGGCCAAAGGGCGGGGACTAGGAAGTACGGTTCCTTCTTACAAAGGAACCCCCCGCGCTCAGGCACCAGAGCTGGGCGCAGTCTCTGAGCACCTGCCTGCTCTTCGTTGCACTTGACCACAGGGGGTCCTCTGCCGGGGCGCAAGGAGCCTTGTCTTCTCCACGTGAGGGTGCTTCGTAGCCACAAAACCAGTCCATTTCCAAGGAGACAACAAGGGAATCGGGGAAGGGGGTTCCTGGAAGTGGGGACAAGGTTAAGAGAGGGAGGTGGGGGCTCTCCCGGTCAGCATAGTGAATGTGAGGCCGTAGCGTCGAGAACAGTGTGGGGGGTGGGGGGCTCAGCCCTAGCCCCTGGCTGGCAGTGATGGCCCAGGCCCTGGGAGCGGGGTCCTCCCCAGACCCCCATGGATCTCACAGTCCTGACTTCCAGAGCCGGGCTGGGCTGTGCAGGGAAATGGCCAAGGGCAGAGTCTGTAGGTTCTCCTCGCGGTGCCCCATCCGCGGAGGAGGTGAAGCTTGGAGGTGCCTCCGTGTCGCGCCCTCAGCAGAACTGGTAGTTGTTGGGCTGCAGCAGGGGCTGCACGATATCCCCCTGCTCGCAGCAGGCCAGCTGCTCGCTCGAGCTCTCCTCCTCGGGCTCGCTGCCGCTGCCACTGCCGCTGCCGGGCAGGTTGCTGTAGTTCTGACGGCACGAGAGACGGGCTGGTCGGTCCTGACTGCCCGCGCCCGGCCCAGCCTGCGGCAGCCACCCAGCCAGCCACCCACCCTGCGGCCCGCCCCACTCACCGGCGCTCTCCTGTCCTCTTGGGCCTGCTTCTGGAGGAGGGAGCAGATCTGCTGGAATGTGGGTCTGCGGGTGGGCTCCAGGGCCCAGCAGGCCTGCATGATGCTGTATCTAAGGCAGGACAGAAGCAGCCCGTGGGTCTGGGGGTCCAGTACACGCAGGCACACACACGCACACACCCCCTGATGGTCTCGCCTGGCAGAGGTCCTGAAACCTAGTGAAAAGGGGGCCTGTCACAAGACCCATGCTAAGCCCTTGATCTGCATCAGCTCATTTAATCTCAGTAACCCTTGGAAGCTGTTTTCATCATGCCTACTTGCCAGCTGAGGGGAGAAAAAGCTCAGAGATGCTATCTTGCCCAGGCTTTAGAACTAAGAGGGGTTATGCCGGCCACCGGCAGGTAGGTTTGACAGGTGGGCTGAGATGGGTGACTGGCTGACTAACCGAAGATGAACGTGGCAGTGCGCCGGCCGCAGGTGCCTGGCCGGGCACAGGAGCGTCTGTGGAGAGAGTGGCTGGGGAAGGGTGTGCTGGGGGATTCATGGCCCGCCGGCTCTCGGCAAGGCTGTGGCGAGAGGGAGGGGAGGCAAGAACTCGCCGGGCAGCTTAGCGAGGTGGTTACGAGGCGGCGTGCAGGCAGGTGGGTCCCCTGGTGAGGGGGTGGCTGATACCCCAGAGAGCCAAGACGAGCTGAGGAGAGTGCCTCGGGGACATAATCCTGGAGTGACTTCAAAATCTGAGTTAGCGCCAGTCCCAGTTAAGGGATCTCAGAACAGCTGCTTGGAAACCAGCGGAAACCCCGAACTCTGAAATGGGCTTGTTGTGGCCCACTATGGGGGAGATGAAGCCCAGCCCTGGAACACTGGACGGGGAGAGATGATCACACACACATTTCCGTCCCCTTCAACCACAGCCTGAGGAGCCCTCACTCCTCCCTGGGGTCCTTCACTTACATGTTCTTTGGGGCGAATGCAGGCTGGGCCATTTGGTATCCGTCCTTCACCAGCTTGTAGAACTTGCTGTTCACCAGGATGCCAGGGTAGGGGTTCAGCCCTGCAAAGGCCAAGGTCACGTAGGAGCCCATGCTTGGGGCTCACATTTCACCTGCCCCCACACCCACCCCTACACAAGAGTTAACAAAGGACGTAAGCTTCAGTGGAATTTGGGAGTGTCACCCAGGCCTCATCACACCACAGAAAATTCCAGCACGGGCTTTGGAATAAGGTTAGAGGAGTGCACTAAAGGGCTTAGCCCAAATCCCTGGGCCTGGCACTCCAGAGGCCGGATGTGCACACTTCAGGTAACAAGGGAAAGAAAACTGCATTCAAGGAAGCAGCAACTGCACGGGCGGGCAGATGAGGGAACGCCTGGCGGCACGGGGCGCACACAGGAGCTGCATGGCTGGGTTTTCAGAAGCCATGCCCATCGCTTCGCTGCCACCAGCCTTTGCTCTGCCCTGGACAGCAAACACCCTTGACTGGCATTCTTCACGAGGTACAGGACACTGGAGTAGCCAAACACGAGTCAGTGCCAGGCTGAGCCTGCGCTGGCCTAGTGGCTTACCGAGTGAGAAGATTTCCCAGAGCAAGATGCCGTAGGACCAGACGTCGCTCTGAACCGTGTAGACACAGTCGAAGATGCTTTCTGGTGCCATCCACTTCACAGGCAGGCGGGCCTAGCACGGCAGACCCCGGTCACCTGGGACCTGGGCTCACTGCCCCCCTCCCAGCCCGGCCCACCCTCCCCAGCACTCACATTGCCCTTGACGATGTAGTTGGAGTCATTCATGATGTCCCTAGCCAGGCCGAAGTCCCCGATCTTGGCCACACGCCCACTGGTCAGGAGGACATTTCGGGCTGCCACGTCCCGGTGGATGCACTGGAGGGAAGTAGTTAGTCTCGGCCCCTCCCCTACTCGAGCCTGAGGTGCAGGGGGAGCAGCCAGGCCCCCCCCCCCAGAATGCCTTGGGCTCCTCATTGAGGGCGTGGGTATCAGATTTGGTCCTGTACCCTGGCTCCCGTCCCTACCTGCTACCAAGATCCAGGTCTGAGGAAATTTAACGTGGCTGGAAAGTTGGCTGTCTAGAATCTGCCATCACTGTGGCCCTCTGGGCCTGAGCAGCAAGAACTGACTCAGAGCCGGGCTACCTGCTTGCGCGCAGCCACTGTGAGCCCTGGTGCTGGGAATGGCCTGTGACCCCACCGGCCACTGATAACGGCAGCTGCCACCTGCGGGGCCCAACCATGCCAGGCCCTTCCCTCACCGTCTAAACACACTGCAACCCTGTTTTGCCCTCAGGACAACCCTGTGATTGTGCCCGTTTTTATAGGTGTAGGAACCAAAGCTCAGAGAATTGCAATAGTTGCTCAAGGTCACACAGCGAAAGGCAGAGTTAACAGTCCAGCTCGACTCCCAAATCTGCTGTGAGGAGCGCGGTCACAGCCCCCACTCACTGGGAACCTCCTGGATTGAGTGTGTGGTACACGTCATCCCCTACCCTCATGACAACTCGGGGAGCTTCGTTTATCAGCCCCACAAGACCATGTGCTTCCCAAGGGGCCAGTCGTTGCCTTGTTCGCGCTGTTGACCCAAACTGAAGGGATAAGTCCTGTTCTTGGAAACGGGGTCCTCCACCGCCTGCTGCACACCCGGGCGACGGCTGTGCTCGGCCTGGGGCCCCCACCACCCAGCGCTGGAGAAGCTCCAGGCATAGCTCTCTCCCACTCACGCCTGGAGGCTGTGTGGCCGCTGCCCACTTGCTCTCGGGCGCCCTGGCCCCTCCTTGCCTTCCCCACATGCTCGCCTTTCCTCTCCATCCTTAGTCACCCAGCCTCACGGGAGACGGGAGGGTTCAGCAGCCTCCCACCTCCCCAGGGGCCACATCGGACCCAGTTTCCAACTCACGTTCTTAGAGGCGAGGAAGGCCATCCCCTGGGCCACCTGGCTCGAGAAGTGGAGCAGGTCTCGCAGCTCCAGCGGCCGCCCATCCTCCTTGCCCGGGTCTGGTGTGGGGAGAGGCGTCAGGGCAGCCCCGGCACATCCCAGCCCCCAGCGGCCCCTGTCCTCCGCCCTCCGCACCTGCCGCCCAGGACCTCCTCACCTTGGTCAGAGAAGGAGTCGTTCGAAGAAGAGGTAGAGACAGGCCTCATTTCCACATAGGTGTCTACACCCTGACTGGAGAAGCCACTGTCCCTGTGTAGGAGAAAGGTCCCCATTGCTACACTAGCCAGCTCGCACCTTGGCCTCCAGCTCCCCATGTCCTTTCCAACCAGCAGGGAAGTGCAGGGACCTCAAGGTCAACTTGAACCTCCCTTTCTGACGAGGAAACCCCCCCCCCACCACCACCACCATATTCTGTGAGTCATCATTGATCTCTGCTTAGCCATATGGGGAGGAAGCTTACAATTCGTTCTGTCATTGGGCATCTCTGCCTGTTAGAAAGTTCTTCTCTATTCCTAATGCCAATCTGCCCCTGCGATTTTCTTCCTGCCGGCCCTTGCTCTGCCTTCAAGGGCACAGAGAAGTAGGCTCTCTTTTCCCATAACAGCCCTGCAGGGATTTGAGGATATTCGAGGGCCCCTTCTTTGAGCCTTCTCTGCCTGACAGTGGCTCTCACTGCTGGCTGGCTTCACATTCAGTCGCCCAGGGAGCCCAGAGCACCTCGAAATTAGGGGTGAAACCCAGTCATTCACACTTTGAAATGTCTCCGGTAATTCCTGTGTGTAGCCTGAGCTGAGGCCACTGGTCTAGAGGAGGGCTTCCTAACCTGTAATTCATGAGCGTAGGAGTCACCTGGGGAGTCCCATCTAAGTGCCGATCCTGATTCAGCAGGTCTGGGGGCACCGAGCTGTGTCTCTAACAGCTCTCAGGTGATGCCTGTGAGCATGTGCTTTCAGTCGTAGGTAGGTTGGAGAAGCACTTCTCTAGATTGAATCACCACTACTCTTTCTGGTGTTCCAACTAGGTGTAATTTCTGGCCGTCTCCCTTTCCTCTCCCCTCTGCAGTGGAGATGTGCACTTTGACAGTGCTCATCCCCTAGTGTTCCCAGAAAGAGAAGGGAGTGTCTTATCGATGCTCTGGCCAGGGGAAAACCATCCCCTCCCTTGGTCTAGAAACTACACTTCTATTAATGCAGCCTGGGAACCTGTTGGCAGAATTGGTTCCCATGCCATTTGCCCTTGAAGTGACCCCACTGTATGCATCTTCTCCCCATCTGCACATTTGAAGATAAGAAGTTAATACTTTACTTTAGTTCTCATTTTGATTTGACCTGGCCTACAGAGGCCCAGTGTAAGCCGTGCTTTCAGAGGGGCGTCAGAGAATCAGAAGAGGAAGCAGATCCTTCCAGCCGTCATATTCAAGGATACTGGATGGAGTGAAATGGCCTCCTTCCCCTTTTGCCTCCCCAGGCTTGGCAGCTGACAGTGGCTAAAATAGGGGCCTGGTGTGCACCCTTCTCGTTCTGATCATGTCTCAGCAGCCTGGCCCTGAGGCCCCACGACCCCCAAGACTGAGACTTCTAGGACAGCCACGTGGCTCAGGTGAGTACTGGGCCAGGAGTCGAGGGAGCAGAATTCGAGCCCAGGCTCCGCCTCTGCCCCTGACTCATGTGTGACACGAAACTGGCCACTTCCTCTCTCTGATTCCCCATGTGGCTTTGTCCATCTGCCTCCAGATGGCTTCCAGGAATCATAGCATTATAGGAGGACAGAGCCGGAAAGACTCTGAGAGCCTCAAACCACGCCCCCCCACCCCGAAGGTTTGCCCGGGGAAACTGAGGCCCAAGTAGATCAGGGACCTGGCCTGTTTTGCCCCTTCTCGCCCAACAACCAACAGACACTGTCCAGGTGCTCTGCAGCCCCTGACGGCATGGGAAGAAAAGGGCACTTATCCCGCACCATCTGCCCCTCTTGCTAGAGCCCTGAACCCTGAACGTTGGTTGAAATTTACATACCTTCAAGTGATGATACCATTAACGCCTGTCTCCACCCAGACTCTGAGCCACCCATCTTTGCCCAACACACTCCTAGAACATAGTAGGTCCTCAAACATTTGTTGGATGATAGGAATAAGTAGTAGAAAAACCGAAGTGGCCCACAGGAGCTGGGGCGACTACCCCCCATGGCAGAGAGGGGAATGTGAGGGCCACACAACCACCCACGCCTGAGTTCGCTTTGGAGGCAGACCCTGGGCCTGCCTTCCAGCCCCGGCCTCCTTCCTGTCCTTTGCCAGGGTACTACCTGCGGACGTATTTCTTCTCCAGGTGGATGTTCTTGTAGCCAGAGCCGGCCTCGGCATCCTGGCCCGCGCTCAGGCTGGGGCCCAGCATGGCCTCTGCCTGCCTGCGCAGGAAGTTGAGCAGGTCGCCGTAGCAGCAGTACTCAGTGATGACCAGAACGGGGCCTAGAGTAGCCAAGAGAGTGGGTCAGCGCACTCCTTGGCCCACTCCCACTGTGTGCACGGGGACGCGAGGTAGGGCAACATGACACCCTGGCATGGAGACCCAGGAGACCTGGGCTCTAAGCCTGACTGTCTGCGGGCAGCTTTTTCTGCTTTCCGTGCCTCAGTAACTCCAACTGTCTAAAGCAGAGGAATCTCAAACCACTGTAGTGGGAAAATTCTTTCTTCAAAGGGTATCTGTGAGAATTCCGTATAGGTCAAGGCCCTGGGGCACCTCTGTGGACCCTATGGTGAGTGTCCATGCATCTTTGGGTGGCATCTTCCCTCCGGAGCTCCAGAATCAGACTCCCTGCGGCAGGGCCCAGGGACCTGCGCTCTTATCCCCCTCTCTGGCTGGCTCAGACCACCCACCGAAGTCTGAGTACCACCGAGCAGAGCTCGCAGAACTATCTATCATTCAGCAACAGCTTCTGACCATCCAGGCACCCAGTGTAGGAATTTGAGGAACACTGAGGTAGATAGGAACCCTGTCATCACTTGGGGGAGATGGAAAGATGGAGTGGGGTGGTCCCGGGCCACACCGGAGAGGCTCCGAGACCATAGGAGCCCTCACCTCCGTGGGTGCAGGCTCCCAGAAGGTTGACTATGTTCTCGTGTTGGCCCAGGTGACTCATGATCTTCAGTTCTGACATGAGGGCCTCCTTCTCATCCGCGTGAGCCGTGGCTGGGAGACGGGGCCACAGGTCCCATAGAACAGGAAAGGGCAGGGCAGACGAGCCACACAGGCAGATGGGAGGCACCGAGGAGAGCAAGCAGGGAGTAAGTACCCAGTGACCGAAAGAGGGGAAAGGAGAAATGTGGACACACAGAGAGGAGTTAGAGAGAGAGAGAGAGAGGAGAGATGGCCTGTCACTGAGGTGCTCTTGAGTGACAGGAAGCCAAGCTGTGGCCAGGCCATAGCCCAGGGGGGCCTCTGTGTACCCCAGCCTCTTTGGGGCTCCAAAGAGCCCTCCACACCCAGGAGCTAAGAGCCAGGAGCTAAAGAAGCCAAGAGTCCTTGCCCCCAATCCCAGGCCCTGTCCTCCCCACCCCCCCAGCTGTGATAGGCTGAAAAAGTGGGCGGTGACTTGTGACAGGGCAGCCCCTCCCCTAGGGAACGCCAGCTCCCACCCTCTCCCTCAGCTTCCGGAAGCCCCTCCCCCTCACTCACACTTCAGCATCTTCACGGCCACCTTCAGGACGGCATCTTCCTTGCCCAGACCAAAGGCTGTGGCCTCCACCACCTTCCCAAAGGCACCAGCTCCAAGAGTCTTACCTGCCACACACACACACACACACACAGTCTCCTTAGGTCCCGGGCGACTCAGGACCCACGGGCTCCCTGCAGCGCATGCCTGCTGCACGGGGGTTGCTGAGACCTCAGCTCACCGAACTGCAGGTTGTTCCGGGGGAACTCCCACTTCTCATTGTAGGGCAGCTGGGTGGGGTCGATGAAGGTGTAGCTGTTGCCCTCGTAGCTCTCGATGATCTTCCAGCGCACCTGGTACTTGGGCTTCTGCAGGGGAAGGTGGGAAAGCAGATGTCAGCTGGGCCTGCAGCCAGGGGTGGGATCTCATCCCCAACCCCCAGGAGCGGGGGGTGTGGACACTCCCAAGGCACGGTGGGAGGAGGCAGGGGTGGCCTGAGAGGCGGCGAGAGGGGCCGGGTCCTCCCATGTCCAAGGTGCTGAGAGCCCCGTCCTTGCCCGCTTTGGCCTCGCCATGTGACCTGTCCTTCTCTAAGCCTTGGTTTTCCCACCTGTGTGCTGGAAGGTGTGAGCAGGGTCACCTCTGAGAGCCTTGACAGCTCTGATAACTTGGGAATTCTTGAGCCAGGAGGGAGGGGGGACCTTGAAGTAGGTCCGTCCGTTCGTCCATCCATCCATCCTCCCATCCAAATATTGCCTAGTTTTATTTTTAATTGTGATAAGACACGTACAACCTAAACCTATCATCACGAATTCATCATTCTCATTCTTTGAGTGTACAATTCAGCAACGTTCATTCACACCTTTATGCCACCAAGCTCTGGAATTCTTGTCACTTTGCAAAACAAAAACTCCTTACTCATTAAGCAAGGGGCTTCCTGTCTTACCTCCCCTGAGCCCCTGGCCACTTATCTCTCAAATCTGCCCACTCTAGGTGCCTCACTTAGTTGGAATCCTACAATATCTGTCCTTTTGCGACTGGCTTATTTCACTTTGTATAATGTCCTCAAGGCTCCCCCATGTGTCAGAATTTCTTACCTTTCGAAGGCTGAATAACATTTCCAGACAAATATTTCAAACTCCTATTTGTGCCAGACACCACTGACCCAGAATTAAAGAAGATAAAGCCCCTGCCCCCATGGGGTTTGCATTCAGGGGGCTAAGGCAGGCATTCAACTCACATAATAAAAAAAAAATATATATATATATATATACACACACACACACATATATATAAATATAGAGGACATTTTCAAATAGTGCCGTGAAGAAAATAAATCAAAGTGACAGAAAAGAGTGCAGGGTGCAGGGTGCGACTGAAGGTGTAAGCCGGGGGACCAGCCAGGTGACTGTCGGAGGGAGGACTTTGCAGGTACAGGGAATAGCAGGTGTACTGGCTGTGAGTGGGCAAAGTCCTGGCAACTCTGAGGGACTGGCTGGTGCCCATGTGGCTTGAGGGAAGCAGGAGACATTCCAGAGATGGGAAGGCCTTGAGCGCCAGGCGAGCAGATCCCCTCCTAGCTGCAGGGAGAAGCCCTGGAAGACTTGATGCTGGCGAGGGATACATCGACTTTACAGTGTGTTTTAAACTAGAGGGAGAGGAAGAGAGGGCAGAGCCAGATCTAGGGAGGAGGAGTGACTGCCTCTCTCTTTCCTGCCCAGGGTGGCAGCTGCTTGGGGGCATCATGCCAGGGGGTGCCCACGAGAAGTGCTGATGGAAGATGGACTTTAGGTAGAAAGTGGAAGCTGGGCTTGGGTGGTGGAGGACACCGAGGCCCTGGGTCAGCAGTCCAGCTCTTTCCGGTCAGCCCTAGGGGACAAGGACCAGCTGGGCTGTACTTAGCAGCTGGGCTCCTTCTCTGGACACCCAGCCCCGGGCGAGCTGAAGGGTACGTGAGTGGGTGTTGGGGAGGAAGGCAGCCTGCGGCTGCAAGTTGCATCTGGTTAAGAGAAAAGACTCCAGATAGCCGGAGGGAAGAACTTCCAGTTGGTAGTTTGGGAGAGGAGACTGCAGTTAGACTTAAGGAAGAACTTCCAGGTTCTGATTCAGGAGAGAGACTACAGCTAAACTTAAGAACATTCATGCTGCGACTGGGGAGGAGAGTCTGAAATGGGACAGAAGGAGGAACCTCCTGAGTCACAGAGGATTCAAGCCCTGAGTGTGGGCGCCTCCCCAAACCAAGCCATGGGGAGAGAGCCGGGTAGGGATTCTCTGACCTCCCCTGGCCGCTTCCAGCTCCAGGGGCTTCTGTGGCCAACGCTGTTTTTCCTCCTCACCACTTCTTCTTCTGGCCCCTGCAGCTGGGCCTGAGTCAGCCCCCTCCCCAGCGCTGCTCCCCCACCCCCTCCCCAGCCAGCCAGGGGATATTGGGGAAAGGGGTGGGGGGGGGAGAATCAAAGGAGGAAGAGGTCATCTGGCTGGATCTCACAGATCTCTGAATCCCAGACTCCACCAGGAGGAGGACACAGCTCTCTCCCCTCACCTCAGGCCTCTGTACCCCTTCCTGGAAGACGGACACCGCCTCTGCTTCTGGACCACCCTGGCTCCCCAGGGCTTCTACCTAGAGGGTCTTCTCTGCTGGAGAGCCCTTTACAGGGAAGGCGAGAGGGGCCGCCTCCACCCGGTTTGCTAAGGGGAGTAGTTGCAGTGATAGTGGGGAGCTCTCCTCCAGCACCCCTTTGCGAGCCGCGAACACTCAGCGTGCGCCACGTCTCTCATTCCTTGCGGCAGGCCCAGACCCAGGCTCACGCACGCTTCCCCTCGGCGCGAACATGGGCAGGGAGACATCAAGTTCCTGTGGCCCTCCCCGTCTAGGCCCGCTGGTTTTGGGCTGGTGGCTGGTCTCTGTCTTAGGAAGGTAGCGACCTCACACGTCCCACTGGAAACCTTGGAGACCCTCCTGTCCGGCCCCAGTAGGCCTCCAGACCCCAGACCCCAGAATCCCAGCTTGCGCGCCTCCCTACCCCATCCTTTCCTCCTGGAAGCCCTCCTTCCAGCCTGCTGACTTCTGATCTTTTCTCCGCCCCCTTTGGTCCCCGCTGTGGTCCGGCTGGGGCCAGGAAGGTGATGACTCAGCTCTGAGGCAGAAGCAACCCTTCCCCCCAGCCAGAGCCACCCCTTACCGCAGGCCTGGGCAGTGAGGCCAGGCCAGGCGGAGTGCTCAATGCAGAGGCAAAGCTCAGAACCCCATGGGGCAAAGCGGAGGGGAATTGCACGAAAGGCCCTGAGGCAAGGCCAAGAGCATCTTGACCCCTCAAGGTCTTGTCTCATGGGATGCCCTCCTTTCCTTGGCCTTAGATGGGCTCAGGGGGCAGCTGAATTTCCTGGATGGGAAATGAGGTATTTATTTCACCTTCCAAAAATGGTCCCGTGGAGAGAAGATAAGGTGTCCCCAAACCAACAGTGGCCAAGGGGGCTGGGCAGCTCACGGAAGAAAGGGCTGGAGAGGGAACTGGTCCCTTCTCTGGAATCTCGGCAGGCGTGTCATGGGCTGAGGAGGCAGCTCTGTGGGGCACCGGGAGCATTTTCAGCTCCGTATAAGGAAGAAGTTCGTAATAATCAGAGCTGCTCAGACGAGGAACGGGTGGCCACAAGAGTGAGTTAAGTCCTGTCCATAGAGGTGGGCGAGCAGGGCCCAACAACCACTGCGGTATGTAGCCAAGGAGGTGCCCAACCTCAGACACCCGTCCAGTCCCAAGATACGTGAGCTAACTCAGGTTCCCCAGTCAACTTCCTCCTAGGACAAGGGCGGGCAGCCTGCGTCCTGAGCTCTGTCTGTGCCCAGCTCCCTGCTAAGTCCCCGACATACGATCCGTCGTTGAATCCTCACGACAGCCCGGTAGGGTGGCCGCCATTAGTAACCCCATTTCACAGACGGAGAAACAGACAGAGACATTCCCAACTTCCCCGGAGTTCTAATAGTTGGAGACAGGCAGAGGCAGGGCGCACATCTATCCAACTCCCAACCCTGGCTCTCAGGAGGCTCTAATATGTCAGAGGAGGAAGATTGCTACCAGTCCCACCGCACAGGTGGGGAAACCGAGGACCAGAGCGGGCAGTGAGTCAGCCAAGGTCTCACGGCAAAACAGTTTTAGAGCTCGACCCAGATCCCTGAAGTCTTGACCTGAGGCCTTCGTTTGCTGGGTGCTGGCATGAGCATGAGAGCTGACTCCAGGGGCTCCCAGGGTGCTCCACATCCGGTCCACATTGTCTACTCCAAGCCCTCTTCTCATACTAAAGCCCCCAAGGTGGGGGAGGGAAGGCAGCAGAGGAGGCCACCAGGTGGTTATTCACCCCTAAATCACATCACTCCCTTGGTCAAACCCACTGATGACTCAAGCCTACAGGATGGGGTCCAAGGAGTTGGATCTCAATGTGCCCCGCCTCCTTCTTCCGGGTACCAGTATTTCTGGAACTTGCCTTGGTCTTTCCCCCCGCTCACCCCTGCACACATTGCCCTCCCCCGGAGATACCCTTTCCCTGAGTTTTGCCTCTCCTTGCTGCATCCCCCCGTCCTCCAAGGTCTGTCCCACCCATGCCAACCACCTCCTCCAGGCAGGCTCCCTTCCCCACCAGCAAAAGAGATCCTTCCACCTCTGACCTCCCACAGGCCTCCGACCTGGGCCTCAGTGTCTATTGCAGTGGACACCATCTTCTGTGTAGGAAGGCAGCTGGGCAAGGTGGCAGGGGCCTCGGGCTGGCATGGGGGAGGCACCTGGGACCCTTGGGCGGGTGCTTCAACCCAGCCACCCCATCTCCCTATTGTAAAGTGCTACAGTTCCTGCCTTCAGGTTGTTGTGAGGGAAAGATAAGGTGATTCAATGGTTCACGTACTGGTTAAAAAAAACACGGTTTTAAAAACCCAGCCTCTGCCACTGACCGGCTGTAGGCTAGAGCAACTGTCGCAGCCTCGCAGAACCTCAGCTTCCAACTCTGTAAAATGGGGTTAGCGATGCTATCTACGTGCTGCGATTGTTGAGGGTGTTAAATGCGAGGATGTAGGTAACGGGCTTCACAAACACTGCCCCTCAGATTGCTGTTGAGAGCTCTAGGTGACGTCCGCTCAACATCAGCGTGCCGTCAAGGGCAGCTCTGGTTAATGGTACATAGTGAAGAGGAGGGGGGTGATCAAGCCTTCCTCCTCCCCTAGACCACCCGCCACCTGCACGAGACACAGGCCTGGCCCCATGAGGCCCTCTCTGTGTGCCTGGGAGGCCCCAGCAGGGGGCAGGATCCCGAGTTTATGCTCTCCCGGAACCCCGTCCCTCTCCCCATAGCACCTTTCCTCTGTAATCCATTCCCTCTCCTTTCCGGTTATTGGATTTGCAAAAGCTTCCTGCTCTAGACAGTGAAGCCTGCGAGAAAAGAGCCTCAGAGGCTCACTCGGCACCCAGCCACTCACGCTGGCATACAGTTGGCGCCCACTGAAGAGCTGTTGGCTGAATGGGTGACAGAATGACTGTCCAGGGGCTGAAGGGTGGATCCTCGCAACCTGGCGGTGCTCTCCCAGGGTCCGGTTCCCCGGCCCGCCCACCCGCCCCAGGCTCACCTGCTTATACTTGTACAAAAGCCACAGAAGCAGCAGCAGCAGTGAGGCCATGATGGACATGCAGGTGACCAGCACGGGCGTGAAGAGTAGCTCGTTGGGGAGCTGTGTGTGGGCTCCTGCAGGGATGGGGGAGGGCAAAGGAGTGAGTCGGCAGAGCGGGCCTTCGGGACCTCCTGCCACCACCGAGATCCGGCCACTGTACTGCCTGGAACACAGTAGGTGCTCAGTAAATGTCTGTTGACGGAGCCAAGTGGCTTCTCCCTCAGAAGCCCCAGCACCTCAGAGAGCCTTCCTGTAGACCCTCCCCCAGCCAGGGGCAGGGAGGACCGCCCCTCCGGTTCTGCTCAAGCCGGGGCCCCAAGCCCCGCCCGAGGTCACAGCACCTGTGGCTGGGGAGCCGTCATGCTGTACCCCCTCCTGCTGGTGCAAGGAGGCTCTGCAGCGGGCTGGCCTAGTACCCAGCTGTGGCTTACACGTACATGCACGCGTGCACGCGCGCGCACACACACACACACACACACACACACCAGTAGTGGGTGTTCAGCTCCTGCACCTCTGGGCAGCTCAGACAGACCTAGAGGCCAGACCGTAACCCGCCTTCGCAGCATTTCCCTGCTGCTTCCTCCCCTCTGGAACCACACGCCCCTCTAAGGGTCTGAAAGCCTGGCTCAAGGCCACTGGCTCTCTTCTTCCCGGACCCATAACCTCAGTTCTTTCAGTGTGTCTGAAGGGCATCATTCCCATCCTCCACATCAACAGCAGTGCGAGTCTGAGGCCAAATCTCGCCCCTGCCCCTTCAGAGGTGTGTGACGTGGAGCCTGTGACTTCTCCTTAAGTCTCACGTTCCTCGTCTCCCGAGTGGGAAGGAAAAGGGTGCCAACCTCCCGGGGTCATGTGAGCTCACCCAGTAATGACTGTATGGTGCTTAGCACAGTGCCTGACACAGGGTAAGCATTCATTGAGACGCTGGTTTAGTATTTTTACTACATGACCACCAGCAGTGACACAGAGCAGCCACACACAGCTGCACGCAGAATCCCGCCCTGGTGGTGGCTGCCCCCAAGGCACCCGAGGGGCGACCTCTGAGCCTGAGGCCAAAGCCGAGGCTCCCACTCTGTCCATCTGCCCAGAGAGTCTCGCCAGGGCCTGCCACACAGCGGTGCTGAAACCTGGTTGTTAGGAGTCGGAGGCGCCGTGGGTCCATCTCTAAGGCCCTGGGCCTCTCAGACCCAGACAACTGGAGCCTTTGTGCAACACAGAGAAAGGCACCCCTTCCTCTAAACAGCCTGCATCAGTGCCCAGCGCTGGCCGCCAGCCCCACCCTCCGACCGTGGCCCTGAATGGATAGGGCTGTGTCTTTGGAGGGAAAAGAGTCAGAGGGGTGGAGAAGGCGGCCAAGGCTGGCCCCGGGCTGGGGATGGACTGTGATCCCTTGTTGCCTGTCTCTCTCTCATGAGGCTCTGAGCTCCATGGAGGCTTTGCTCCCCTGTCCCCAGTGAGTGCCTGGCACACAGCAGATGCCAAATGCATACTTGTGAATTAACGAATGAGTTAAAGGGCAGGAATATAAGCAGAGGGGGCAAATGAGGCCACGCTTCAGGCTGCTTTGTCTCTGGGCCTCATGGCTTCCCGGCCTTTGCTCTTCTCTCCCCGCTTCTAGTCCCGAGGGTCTAGACTTCTCTACCTGGCCTTTGGACAGGAGGTGCCTGGAAATGGACCCTGAGAAGTGGCACTGGCTATGGCTGGGATCTGCTCCGCTCTGGCACTCTGACCCTGGCTTCCTGGGGCCTGGGGCAGTTTCCTGAGCCCCCCTCCCAACATGGGCTGGGCGGGGCGAAGGCTCACCAACAGAGATGGGCCAGAAGGTCTGGGAGCTGTTCCCCACGCTGTTGATGGCTCTGCACTCGTATGTCCTGTTGTGTTCCAAGGTCCCGGTGGCCAGCAGGCTATGGACGATCACCTTGTGGAAGGGCTCTTGGCTCAGGACCTCAGAGTGCGAGTCCTCTAGGACCAGGCTTTCTGACTCATCACATCTGGGGAGAGCAGAGCGTGGCTTAGAGTTTCAGGTGCCGGCTCCTTGGCCCCTCCTCCCGGGTGAAGAAGGCGAGCAGAGCCACTCACCTATCCGCGTGGCTCTGACACTGCAGCCATGTGACATAGGGCTGGGGGTACCCGGAGGCTTCACAGAGCAGTGTGTCAGAGCCATTGATGAGGGTCCTCATGACCCTTACCTCCGGGGGGTCTGAGGAGAAAAAGAGGAGTGGTAGAGGTGGGGGTCAGCTCCAGAAGCCCCAACGCCCCTGTCTGACCAGCCTGCACTGGGCTGCCGCCCCTCCCTTACCCCCACCTGCAAGCCCCAGGGGCCTTAGCGCCCAGCCCCCGCTCCATCACTCACATCGCAGGGTGAGCTCAAAGGTCAGGGTCTTCTCACCACCAGCGTTTCTGGCCAGGAAGGCGTAGTGACCGGCCTCCGAGCGCTTCAGGCGAGGCAGAGAGAGGGTCGAGATGGACCTACACAAGAGGGGCAGGCCGTCTGGCGTGAACCCCCGTCCTGGTATGGCCCCTGCAGGACAGCAGGCTCAGACAACCTTTCTAAAGGGCTTTGTTCTATTTTTGCTAAAGCATCCGGGGCACAAAGGCCTTGGCTGAACCAGGTCCCCAGGCTGAGTGCCATCGAGACATGGAAAAACCAACCCAATGCCCTTAATATCTTCTCTCATTTGTGAAGTGGTTTGGTTCTGAGGTTTAGTAGAAATGGTGTCGGTGAGGTGCCGACCCTGCAAGGCACATTAGCTGCCATCCCTAAAGCACCAGCCCTGCCAGGAGGGACCGTGAGAGAGATGAGAGGCAGGATGTAGCTATGGGGTGACAGAAACCAGGGTTCAAGTTCTGGTGCTGTCATTTCTTAGCTGTGTGATCTTAGACAAGTACTCGCCCTCTCTGATCCTCTGTTTCCTTTCCTGTGAGGACAACACTGATGGTAATTAATGCACAGATTGAGTCTGAGGATTAAAGGGGCCTATAGGCAGGGTGCTTGACATAGAGCCTGACTCATTGTAGGTACATTTAATGGTGCCCTTTGCTGCAGGGAAAGACCTAGAAGCAAAAGAGAGCAATGTAAGTTATCCTCAACTGATTCCAAGTAATCTTTGTTTTATTCTTTCCGTAAGCCCTATTTTGGCATTTGTCCCTAAGGGACATGCATTGTTTAGGTAATAAATAAGTTGTTTAAAAATAAATTATAGCATATAATTATAAATTATACTAGACTAAAACCCAGGGTATGCAAAGGGCAATCTCATTCAGCCAGACCTTTGGCGTCCATAACCCTGTACACATCTACTTGTTAAGCGGAAAGAATTCAACTTCTTTGCATGGGTCAAAGTTGCCATGACGAATGCATCCTTCACATGAGCTAAGTCTGGTGGCTGTTTGGTGCCCCGGCTTATCTGCCCTGTGCCGGATGGCCCCACACTACTGCGTCTTGGGGCATCTCCAAACCACATCTCCATTGTGGTTTCTTTCCACAATGTCCCTGTTGCTTAGGGACCCCTGACTCTTATCCATGGGCCGTCCCCCTCCCAGGGGTCTATGGAGTCCAGACTCAGAGCTTCTGTGTTAGACAAGGGGAGGCTCGAAATCCTGACCAGAATGGATGAGAGGGAAACTCAGAAGAGGAAAAGAAGGACAAGAAAACATTTTTTGTTCGGTTGAATATTTTGTTCTGTTTTGATTCTGACAATTGGCAAGCGGGAGTCCAGGATTTAATGAGGTCTGGGCTTCAGCAGCTAGCAGGAGAACCCCAGAGAGTTCTGGAGTTGGAAGATGGTGGAAGAATTATCTTCCCCGGGGGGTGGCAAACACAGCTCCCTGCCTGAGTCACTTATAAGGAAAGTACTGTCTGGGACTGTGTCAAGGAGGACTCCGAGGCTGCATTTGGACCCTGAGGGAAAGAGTTCAAAACTGGATTAGAGAGATCTGTCAAGAGTGTGGCAGGGGAAGCCGTTTCACGCACAGCACACCCCTGCTATCCTTGAGCTCTGGACTCTCGTTCAAATAGCAGTGGGTAAAGCAACTATTGTTTTAACATGTTCCGTTGGTGTTCTTCCCGTGGAGAAGACTCTCTTGTATAGAAGTCTACACTGCTGAGGCCACTTTGGATGGGGAAGTAACACCCTGAGGACGTAAGGAGACAGGATAAGAGATTTCTAACATGCTGTGTTTGCAAGAGAAGCAAGAGTCTGCAAGTGGAGAGACGGGAGAAAAGAGGAGATAGAGTGAGATGACGCTTTATGAGAAGAGATTAGAGCCTGTGGAGAAGAAAAGCTAGTGAGACATTCTCAGAAGTGGGCAACCTCAGGCCTTTAAAGAACTTTTGATGTAGATGTGAGCATGTGATGTTAATCCACTCTAGCACCCCCACCCCCACTCCTGCCAAACCCATCTACGTGGCAGCATCTCTGTGCAGTCCTTATTATGAGTGTGTCTAGGAGTAGAAATCACGGAGCAGTGTCTTCTATATTTGGATCGGCCATCAAAGAGAGAGACTGAGGTTAAGAGTTCTTGAGTCAGCAGAACAGTGTACACCCCAAGAAATAGTAGAGCTCTTGCAGAGGCCACTGGATCTCCCAAGGATGTGGGACATAGAGGGGCAAGCCAACTTTATTTCAGTCTCAAACACAGATGATTGATATTGAGGTTCTAAGGTAGGGAAAGTGAGACAGAGAAAGGGGAAGGGATTTACTCAAGGTCACCAGCAAGGTTGAGCCATGACCCAGTGTCCTGCCTCCTGCCTGAAGCATTCCCCTTCTGGCTGTGGGGATATCCAGATAGAAGCCGATAGGTAGTACCTGTATGTGTCCTTGCTGGTGACAAAATTGAGCTTGTCCTGGTGGTCAGAGAAGGGTCCCAGATAGGTCCAGTTAAAACCTTCCAGGCCTGGGTAGGCCTCCACCTTGACTTGGAGATCAACCTTCTCACCCACGGTCACCTCCTGGAGGAGACTCTGCTCAGTGGTCAAGTTCAAGTAGGCACTCTCTGGAAAGCAGAACACATAAAGTTCTGGCATTAGTGGGAAGATGTCTCAGTTTGTTTGTTCATTTGGTGATCTACCCATTCATTCAGCCATTGGGGCTGGACCCTTCCTGAGGGCCTACTATGTGCCAGGCACCCAGCCCCCACCTCTAACCAAGACTTGCCCTCTGATATCTTCCTTCTTACCGCTGCCCCGTAGAAGCCCAATCTCTCCTCTTCACTGAGTCCTGGGAGAACCTGGACAAATTGCTATCCTCCTTGCTACCTCTGCCTCCTTATTTATAGAATGAAGAGATTGAATATATTTGTGTTGTTGTAACTTTTTGGAACTTTTCTGGTGGCAAAAGAATAAAAAGCTGCTGTTTTTGTCAGATGCCCTCACCCAGTTTCTCTTCTCCTGGGAGCGAGGCTCCTACATCCAGCTCTAAGGGGGCATGTGACTCAGGCCAGCCGGCACCGGTAATGCCCCCTTTGCACCAATGAGTGGTTTGGGGTGGGTACCTGCACCCATGGGTCCATGACACTTATTTCCATGATTTTTGTTGGAGCTCCAAGAAAGGAGGAGCCCTAATTCCACTGCGGTGGTCAAGCCTGATGCTGCTAGGGGTCCCACAAGAAAAATGTACAGCTGAGAGTTGAGAAGCAACGGACTCTCCTCCACATCATTTGAACACTTAGATCCAGTTTACCCGAAGTTCATACCCACGGGCTAGACGGCTGCTGAAACTCCTCTTGCAATTAGGCCAGCTCAAGTTGGTTGCTGTTACCTATGCCCAAAAGAGTCCTGACTAGTTTCTTCTAGTTAAATCTTGCATGAATTAAAATCCAGTTGCTCTGGTTGAATCTCAGAGAGAGGAACTTTGGCAAGAGTCCCCGTGTGCGCAGCCTCCCCGTGCCTCCACTGGAAGCCCCTGAAGTTCTTCCCTAAATCCCCGCAGACTTTGCAAAAAGCTCTGGACTAGATGATCTCCAAGGGCTCCCCTCCTTACTCAGCTCTATGAAATCTGATATTCACTCTTGTACCCTGTGACGGACCTGCTCCAAAGCCCTTACGGTTCCTCGTCGCCTCCACTATACAGATTGGCGTTCAAGACCCCCCCCCAACCTTGCCCTTCTCTTGCCCATCTAGCTGTCTCCCCTCTTCCTACACACACACACACACACACACACACACACACACTGCTCCACCCCACCCATCTTGGTCTCCTAACATCCCATGAACACAGTCATTCCAACCAAGCTTGGAAGTTTTGTTCAAGCCACTTTCTCCACCAGGAACCTGTCCTCTTCCTTTTTTCCATTTAGATCCTTCTCACCCTTCAAGGCTCAGCCCCATCAGGGAGTCTCCACCCACTACTCCAGGCCCCAGGGAGCTGTCCCTCCACTGGACTCCTGCTGCCCTTCTAGAGAGCACATTTCTAAAGCACCACAGCTACACAACTTCGTGCATCTGCTTCTCCCTTCGGCTGGTCATCTTCACTATCCAACAAATGTGTGAGCTTCTGGGGTGAGGCTTCCATCTTCTCTCTCCTCCCCTAGCATCTATCCACCCATCCGGCATCCATCCCCTCCTCTCCTTCACCACCACCCTTATCAAGCCACCGTAACTCCTAGCTTGGATGGCCGCAGGGGCCCCCTAACTCCTCCCCACTCTTTCCACCCTCAACAAGGTGGGTGAGAGCGTCACATTCCTTTACTCAAACCCTCCAATGGACACCCATCTCTCTCAAAGGGAAAAGCCCAAGTCCTTATGTTGGCTTCCCCAGCCAAGCCCTGTGGAATCTGCCACCTTGCCCCCTCCCCTCTGTGACGTCCCCTCGTGTCAATCTTCCTCCTGAATCCACCCCAGCCACACTGGCTCACTTGTTCCTTGCATGCGGTGAGCACAGTCCTGCCTTAAGGACATTGCTTGCCCTCCGCCTGGAGCTCCGGTCTGCAGTGTATCCACACGGCTTACCCCCTTCCCAGCTTCAAGTCATCGCTCAAATGTCAGCTTCCCAGGGAGACCTTCCTTGATGCCCACCCGATTTAAAAAAAATTTTTTTAACGTTTATTCATTTTTGAGAGACAGGCACATCTCATGCAAGCATGAAGGAAGGAATGAGGGAGTGAGTGGCAGTGTACAGTAGGGGCCTACTGGGCACTGATCACAAAACAAAATGTAGTCATGCACTGTAGGGGCTCCAGGAAGGGAGCGAGGGGTTCTGGGGGAGGATCTGGGAAGGAGCCCAGAGGTGCGGCTCCCTAGCCAGGCCCAGGATAAGGGAAGGCTAGCGCAGGTGTTCTTAACAGCGTCTCCTCCCTCTCCACCCTCAGCCCCCTCCTTCCCAATCCCCTGATAAGCTCCCTCACCTCCGGGTCCCCGTCAGCCCGCCCCCATCACCCTGATGCTCACCTACCACCCTGAAGACCATGGAGGCAGAGTGGTTGCCCCAGGCATTGGTGGCCATGCAGGAGTACTTGCCAGCGTCGTGGAAGCTTACGTGGTTGAGGTGGAGGGTCAGGACTTTCTGGTAACGGTTATCATGGAAGTCAGATTGCTGAGAGACTGTGAGCTGTAGCCAGAAGGAATAGAAATGCTATACCTGGGCTGTTTAGGGATTAGAAAACTCTAGGTTCAAATCCTCAGCCTTTCGAGATGACTATCTGCCTTTTCTTGGGCAAGGGACTGACCTCTGAGCCTCAGTTTCTTCATCTGTAAAATGGGACTAACGCTGGCCCATGCTCCTTGGGTTGTAGTAAAGAGCAGTGAACAATTAGATGTAAATGGGGGCAGGATTATGCTTGGCACACAATAGGCACAGCAGGACAGGAGGGGGCTCTTCGATGCAGCCCCAAACCATTCCCTTTTACTCCCTCTGCTTCCCTCTCACCTTTATATTCCTGGGCTTCAAGGTGGCCTAGGAACCCCTTGCTAAGTTAGAAACGAACTGACCTCTGACTCTTGTCAACAGGCTGGGGCAAAGGTCATGGGTCAAAGGGGTAGAGTACCACCTCCCTCCCCCTACAAGATTCAATGACATGAGCCTGGGTCCCGGTGCTGAATCAGCTATTGACGAGCAATGGGTGGGTGCGCTCCCCTCTCTGGGCCTGGGCCATGCCCTCAGTCCAGAGAGCCAGTTCCCCTCGGGGCGGGGGCTCTGTCCTGCAGGTCCCGGTGTGTTGGGAGGGTGGGCACACTTCACCCTGCTGTCCCCCGGGGGCTGACCTTGGTGTCTCCATGATATAGGAAGACGTCAAAGTTAACATCAATGTTGCTGGCTGAGCACATGATCCGGGCAGCCTCTCCTTGAATCCGCACCAGCTCTGCAGGCTCCAGCTTCAAGGTCGCGGGCCCTGTGATGACTGAGGCCAAGGGAAGTGACCCATGAGCACCCAGGCCTGAGCGGTCACTCTGCTCAGGGCCAGGCTACTGGCTGGGGCACCCCCAAAGCTCCTATCCCAAATCCTGGGGGGCAGCCTTGAGGCCCCAGACAGCAAATCCTGTCTTTTACACAGACTTTAAGAAGTCTACTTCCCTTCATCACCTCGTCTCTCCCCAGGGTCACCTGTTCTCTGCTCTGGACACCTGGAAGTTTCCCACTCCCCTTTTGAGCCTTGCACAACCCAGTGCCTCACAGCAGCCGAAGTGAGCTCTTAAGAATGTAGACTGGATCGCGTCTGTCTCCTGGGCCAGTATCGGGTGATTGCCATTACTCCAGGGACACAAGCCGGGGCCCGGTGCCTGACTGCGCTTCCCGCCCCAGGCGCTCTGCTCTGCGGTTGTGCTGGCCCTCCCAGCCAGTGCAGAGACTGCACGCTTGCCCACCCCCTCAAAGCTGTCCCTCCACGCTGTGAGCGGGTGGCCACCCTCTCCCTTCAGATCTTTCGCTCAGAGAAGCCTTCTGTGCCCGGTCAGCTGGGTTCGCCTCTCCCACCCCACGTGCATCCAGCTTTCTCTGGCCTGGCTTCGTGTTCATCCCAGTTGGAACGTTACTTGCTCTCTCTGGTCTGTTTCTCCTGGAAAGATGGCAAATCCCCAAAGGTGATGTTCCCAGCGGCCAAGACAGTGCCTGACATAGAGCAGGCATTGAATTACAGTTCATGGCTATTGCTGTAAATTAGGAGAAGATCTAATCCAGTTTCTCAAGGTCCAGAGACACTAAGGGGCTCATCCAAGGTCACCAAGGGGCCACCAGGGCTCCAGGGCCCTGCCAGATGGAGAGACTCGCAGGCCTCCTCAGTCCACATAGTGGACTCTTGTGACTGCCCGTGCAGGCTTCATGGCCTCAGAGCCCAGGCCTTGGGCCAGCCATAGCCACTCTTACCCTGGCCCTCATTGGAGGGACCTGATTCCTGTCTCAGGCCCAGGTGTCGAGCCCGCTACTCACACCAGTCCTTCCGGAAACCAGAATCCGGTCCATCAGCCTAGCCAGGGCCAGGGGGAATGGAGTGAGACTTCACTACTCCAGTGTCACCCCCACAGTGAGAGCTTTCCTCTGCGCCCACGCCCACGTCCCCAGCCCTTGGCTCCCCACCCTGCCTGCATGTGCCCAGCACCTGGCACCGGGCCGGCACTGAGTGGGAAACCCATGTCTGAGGCTGTGGAGCAGCTCTGGGCCCTCCTTCTGTTCCCGGAACATTCAGAGCCTGTTCCTGCTTCATGACTGTGCACCTGCTGTTTCCTCTGCTGAGGCAGAGCTTTGCACAGCCACGTGCTGGCCAGCATTCCCAGTTCAGCTCCGATAAAACGTCACTCTCTCAGAGAGCCTCCCCTCCCACACACACTCTCTCTTCCATCACCTTGTGAGACGATCTGCAGAGCAATCTGAAGAATGACATCGCTTACTTGTCCTGCCCCAGCAGGTGCCCCCTAGGTGACTGTGGTACAATTGGAAGGAAGAAGCAAAGGAAGGGGGGCCCCTGTCACTCGCCATCAGGCCCGGACCCTGCACAGCTCACGTGTCTGCGGGCTCTCTGTCCCTCCCGGCCCCACGCACCTTTCTGCACTTTAAGCCAGATGACCATCGATGTTACCGTCCTGCCGTCTACTTGCACGCCGCATTGGTAGGACTGACTCTCAATGAACTTGGCCTTGTGGATGGTGAAGCCACGCCAGGGTGAGAAGGAGTAGTTGGTTTGGCGCAAGACGGGTCGGCCACGCAGCCGCCTCAGTGAGACGCCTGCCTCCAGCGCCGGGTCAGTGAGCAGGCAGGGCAGCAATGCGTCCTGACCTTCCAACACCGTCACTTCCTGGGCCAGCACCCTCCAGGGCCGAGCCAGGTCTGCGGTGGAGGGGAGACAGGGTTACAACTGTCTCCCTCCACCAGGCCAAGCGGTCCCTGAACACAGGCTCAGAGAAGTTGATCCCGTGCCTGAGGTCACACAGTGAGAGAAGCTCAGCCAACCTTCGGGTGAGGACCCTGGGCCAGGCTCAGTCCTGTTATTACTTGGTGCTGTGCCACTGTGGGCAAATGGCGCAGCCCCTACCAGCCTCTGGGAAATGTCCATGACCGTGAACCTACTTCCCAGCATTATTATGAGGACTCCATTAAATTGGAAGGACCGCACACGTCTTTGTTAGTGACGGGCACTCAGTAAACGTGGAGCTGGCTTATTATGGTTGTTAATATTAGGACCTGGCCCTCCTGCCCATTCCCAGTGGGGTCTGTAGGGCCAGACCTCTTGGGAGTGGTTCCAGAGACCTCACCTTTGACATAGAGGTGGATGGTGGCATTGCCCCCCAGGGGGTTTCCAGGCTCAGTGCAGCGATAGGTCCCCGTGTTTTGGAAGGTGGCATTATTCGTCATCAGGATGCTGCTGGGGGGGTTGAAGTCCAGGTTCCAGTCGGGGGAGATGGGGCCGCTCCATTCCACGCTGCCGTTGCCCACACATCGCAGGGTCACTGTTGTGCCTGGCTCCACCACCAGCTCGGGGCCACTGGGCTGTATCACTGGGACCCCTTGAGCTGGGGGAGGGGGTGGCGAATAGACAGAAGTGAGGCCCGAGGAGGCGCTTCCCGGCCTCTGAGACAGGCCATGCCCTGGCGAGGGTGGTGCTGGCACTGGTGTTCAGCTGTGATTTAGAATCACCGTGAGCAAGTCCTGCCCCCTGTGTCATGGGCTCAGTCCCCCACCCCCCACCTGCGTGGGGATGGCCCGAGGTCCGGCAACGCCCTCCTCTGAGAAACAGGGACTGGGAGCTTTCTCGGCTTCTGGGTGGGGGCTGTCTCGTGGGGTCAGCCCCAGCCTCCTGCCTCAGTCTTCCCAGCGGTGACTGCAACATGCTCCCCAGGGGGTTGACCCCTTCAGCCCCAAGGACAAGGTGGGCTGTACCCCTAGTGCCAAGCCCAGAACCTGGCTCAAAGCAGGGGACTCAAACGAGCAAGGGAAAAGACAAATGAATGGAATGTTCACAGCGAAGTCCTCTGACTTAATCCATATGGGAAAGAAGAAAAGGGGCGTAGGCTCTCAGCCCAGCAGTGTTAGAAGGGTTCCTAGAGTCTTATGTCACGCCCGCTCCCATCACTGGACATCTGGTCTGCAGCACAGCAGGAGGGTTCAGAGGCTCTGTGCCTCAGTTGCCCCACCTATAAAATGGAGGCAATGATTTGTACCCATTTATTGGGATGCCAGGAGGCTTCAGTGCATGGAAAGCCCTCGGAACCACATCTGTCACCAAATAAATACTCAGGAAGGATTGCTCAGCAGTCCAGCCCAGCACCCCAGCGCTGCTGTGTTGACTAGGAGGCCAATCTCTTTTAAGGAAAATTTGCTTGAAGGAGAAAAGAGAACTTGCAGCCCATATCAGGCCGTCCGGGAAGAAGGCCGGCTGCCTCTGCAGTGTCAGCATTCTTCCAGGGCTGAAAATAGGGGCAAAGGAGGGAAGTGAGAGCTGATTCAAGGCCTTGGAGGGGCTGCCAGGCGCCCCCGAGCCTGTATGGGCGGAAGCACATTGCTGGCGTCCAGCCCGGCCCCGGTTTCCGCTCAGCCTGCAGCCCTTCCCCCAGAGACGCTCTCACTTCTGTTTCCTGGCTCTCCTGACAACTATACCCTGTCCAGAGGCGAGACCCCCAGGAGGGGGAATGCTGCCTGCCGCCCCTTGGAACATTCTGGGCCACAGGGCCTGGCTCTCCCACTGACCAACCGGGTGCTCCCTATGAATCTGACCCCTCTACTCTGTTGACAGGGACAGGGACACTCCTGCCCCTAGGACACTGGATGAATTCAGGGTGCCCCCTGTCTTGCACAAAGGCCTCTCAGATGTGTATTTCCACTCCATCCCCACCACAAACTTCAGAATGGGAAAGACCTTCTCCGTCAAATTATTTCAGGACAACTTAAGCTCTGTTTCGATTTTGTACCCATCAGAGAGAGGGGTGCCTCTCTGCCTGAGCTTTGGAGCAGCACAAAGCATTGAGTGAACTGGTGAACTCTGCCAAGGCCGACACCCAGAGGGTCTTATCCTTCCTGGGCCATGTGACCATGAGGGAGAGGGGTGGGCGTCGTTTCTGGCAGCCTGTCCGCAAATCCCAGCAGGCGCTGTCACGTTTCAGCCGCAGCAGCTCGGCGCCCGTGCTGGGGTTTCATTGCAGGGGAAAGCTTGGACTGTGGTGTCACAGCCCCTTGGCCTGAAACTTGGTTCTCCCTGATGCCAGGTAGGTCACTTAGCCTCTCTGACCCCTCAGGCTACTCTTCCATCCAATGGGATTAGTCCGTTTCCACGTTTCCACCCCCAAGGTCTTGGGAGGGTTCAATGAGGTAATACACAGCCCTTGTCTCAGCCAGTTGCTCATGGCCTGGGCCACTGCTTCACTGGGGACACTTCTAACCCCCACTTCTGGTCCTGACACTCTAATATCTAATGTTCTCAACCTTTTTTTTAATTTAATTTTTTTAATGTTTTATTTATTTCTGAGAGAGAGAGAGAGAGAGAGAGAGAGACAGTGTGAGCAGGGGAGGGTCAGAGAGAGGGAGATACAGAATCTGAAACAGGCTCCAGGCTCTGAGCTGGCTGTCAGCACAGAGCCCCACATGGGGCTTGAACCCACGAACTGCGAGATCGTGACCTGAGCCGAAGTCGGAGGCTTAACCGACCAAGCCACCTAGGCGCCTCATAATGTTAACCTTTAAAGGTCACAGTCTGTGACTGCCCCATCCGCGATCTCGGATTCTGTGATTCTCGCGGTGTTTCCCTTCTGCACCCGCCCAGTCTCACAGGCGCCTTCTCCCTTCCCCTCCCCTGCCCTGCCTCTCTGGCTGGTGTCTCGGCCCCCTAGAAATGTGGTCAGAGAAATGTGTCCTGTTCTGTCCTGTCCTGTTCTCCCGGATATTCATGCAGAGTGAGGCTGACACCCTCAACTTCTGCCCCTAACTTCCCCCTGCTGGCGTGGCTGGTGGGAAGGGAGAGCCTGCTCAGGCCCATCCTCCTTGGGGTGGGGGCTGGAGCTCGGCAGACACTGACCAAGGTCCCCTTCTGTGCCTATCTCTCATCTCCGCTCCCAGGATACCCCCCAACCTCAACTCCCCTCCCTCAATCCACACACACACCGCACACCAACGCATGGGGCATAGCCCCCTCGTCAGACCAGGATCTTAAGCCTCTCCCCATCTCTAGAGTGTTTGAAGCCTGGCTTTTGACTCCCTCACAGCATCCCCCACCCCCCACTCACTCATGACTGGACTGTTGGGCGAAAGGCTGAAGCTTCCACTTGCTGCCTCCCATCTTTTCTTTCTTCTGGGTCTAGAGGCTAGACACCCTCCCCCTCCCACAACAATGTCCCACAGGCAAATTCTGGACTTGAAGACAGGACAAGACAGTTAAATAAAACTCATGGAACTTTCTGGAGAAAGGGGAATAGTTTTCTCTTAATTGGGAGGGCGGGTACACAAGCATACATGTTTGTCAAACCTCATCAGACTGTATATTTAAGAACCTGTACGTTCTACTGTATGTAAATTACATCTCAATTTAAACAAAAACAAAAACAAAAACAACCAGATACGCTCAAGCCCAGAGGCATTGGACCAGAAAACAACCTTCAGTGGGGTGGGCCATCTCCTCGTCGGGGACAGCAGCTGCACAGCTGTGAGGAGGCCAGCACTGAGGCTGCCTTCCACCCTACCCCATCCCTATCCTGGCCCAAGATACCTCCAAATAAGCACATAACAAAATATAACTGTAGCTACAAGCCAAGTAGCCAGCCCCTCACCTCCCGTTAGACACCCTCCTGGGATGGAGACTCCTACCTGTGCGGCTGCTACCAGCGAGTTGGAGGTAGGGTGGCAGCCTGTGTCGGGGAGGGTTCTGGCCAGGGAGACCCTCACTGCCCTTCCTCCCCAGGCTCTCCTCTCATCTCCTCTCAAATTTGTCTTACCCGAGCTCTGGGCCAGAGAGGCTAGCCTCTTATCTCTCCTGCCAGCCCCTTCCCCAGGCCTCCGGAGGAATGACCCTGCCCCCTCTGGCCTTTCCAAGTCGGGTCCTGCCTGCTCTCCACAGCTCACGGGCTGGCAGAACCGCCAGGGCCGTCAGGAGCTCTCTGGGGCCCCCTGCTAGGCATAGGTCTGCACCAGCAGCGGTGGCCTCTCCTAAGAGCTTGTTAGAAGTGCAGAATCTCACGCTGTACCTGAGACCTACTGAGTCAGGATGTGCATTGTGACAAGATCCCCCGGGCGATCAGTATGCGTTGCAAAATTTGAAAAGCATCGTTTCAGTCTCGTTCACCACAGCCCCCAATACCTGCCGTTGAGTAGATGAGGACACTGCAGCCCTGAGGGCATCAGGGGGCTTGTTCAGGAAACATGGTGAGTCAATATCTGAGCTGGACGGCTCTGCTGGGCTGGTTCCACCCCACCCACACGCTCTCTTCCCTCCACTGCCTCACCAAAGCAGATACCCGCAAACCTGCAGTCCAGGCTGGGGAGATGGAGGCACGGAGTGGGGACACCCAGTGAGGGGCAGGGGTTCACAGATTCCTTGCACAGCGGTCGTCTCTGTCACTCACCCCCCCACCTCACCCCCACAGTCCCCGGTCTTACCATGCCAAGCTGTGGCCACCAGCAGGACCAGCAGAGCCCTTGGGCCCATGGCCTCAGTGGGGAGGCGGCAGGATGATGCAGGGTGGAGGGGTGGACAAGGTCTCGGGGCCTCAGCGCTAGCTCCGCAGTGACCGAGACCGCTGGGCACACGTTCCTCTCGGCTGTACTGACTGTTTCTCTTGTTTTCCTCTTCCTCCTCCTGCTCCTTGGGCTGATCCCCTTCTTCCCCTTTTAGCTAGGCAAGGCAACCACAGAGTTTGGAAATCTTGGGTCTTTAGAAGAAAACAAAGCCATGACCCCCAGGGGGAGGGGTTGGAGTCTAGGACAGAGCCCGCCTGAGCTTGGGGGAGCTCTCTAAGTTTAGAGCCCCTTCTGAAACCACCTCCAAGGGATTCTGGCAGAAGAGACATGCTCAAGGTCAAGGAGTCAGTCAGTCGCACAAACGGAGGGTCTCCAGAGTGGCCGAGAAGCTCTGGCTTAGCCAAAAGGAAAGTTAGGATGGTTGGGAGAGCTTGATGATAGAAGCAAGAAACTTCTATTTACAGGATGCTCCCCAGCTGAGCCCTTTACATTCACTGTTTCCTCTGGTTCCTGTAGAACCTTTATGTGGTGGGTACTATTGCCATTCCCGTTTTGCAAATGGAAAAACTGAGGCTCAGAGAGATCAAACCCCTTAAACTTGTCCATAGTTACATGCTACCAAATGGCGGAGGTGGGATTTTGATCTAGGCAGCCTGGTTGTAGAACTCTCTTTATGTTGATTCACTAAGTTATTTGTTTGTTTATTTGTTTATTTTTACAAAGAGTCTAATTATGTTGCTATATTTCTTTGGAAAAATAACATTGTTCTGCCTCTTTCTTTCTTGGAGTCAATTGCTTTTACTTCTTTTAAATGATTCTCTTAGTATTTTCCTTCTTATTCGTAAATAACATGGTTGTAGAGTTACTTCTCGAAACTAAAAAAATTCCAACACAACACTGACCCAGGAAAGTGATCATTCTTTCCATGTACTCAGGTATATGTAATATATTTCATACATACATTTTTTTTTCAGGAACGTGTTCTGAACCTCAAGTAATCATGAATACTAAACAAAACCGACTCAAGAAGAAATAGAAAATCTGAATAGACTTATACCTAGTAAAGAGGTTACTAATCCACAATTAGATGGATTCACTGGTGAATTCTACAAAATATTTAAAGAATTAACCCCAATTCTTCTCAAATTCATTCAAAAAACAGAAGGGGAAGGAACACTTCTCAACTCATTGATTAAGGACAGCATTACCTTGATACTAAAGCCAGACAAAGACTTCACAGGAAAAGAAAACTACAGACCGTATCCCTGATGAATACAGATGCAAACATATTCAGCAAAATACTAGCACAAATAAAACAGCACATTAAGGTGAGATTTATCCCAGAAATGCAAAGATGGTTCAACACGTGAAAATCAATCTAATACACTACCTTGATAGAGTAAAAACCAAACAAACTCACATGATCATCCCAAATGATGCAGAAAAAAACCTTTAACAAAATTTATGATTTAAAAAATCCCCAAAAAGCTAGGAACATAAGACAGGATCTTTAACATGATTAATTAAAACCGTGGATGAAAACCTCACCACTAACTCAATGGTGAAAGATTGAAAACTTCATCCCTTAAACCAGGAACAAGACAAGGATACCACTTTCACTGCTTCTGTTTAACACTGTACTGGATGTTCTAGGCAGAGCAATCACAAAGAAAAATACGTATCCACATTCAAAAGGAAGAAGTATAGTCATAACCCTATATATAGAAAAGTCCTAACGAATCTATAAGAAAAATCCCATGTATAGAAAATACACAACCTTATGTATAGAAAAATCCTAAAGAATCTGTAAGAAAAAAAAATCTATTAGAGCTAATAAATTCTGCAAAGTTGCAGGGTACAAGATCAACACACAAAACTCGGTTGTATTTCTGTACCTAACCATGAGCAATCCGAAAAAGAAGCTTAAAAAACAATTGTATTTGCAATAACACCAAAAATTCTTGAGAATTACCTTAACCAAAAAGATGTAAGATGTATACCCTGAAAACCAGAAAACACTGCTGAAAGAAAGGTAGGATTAAACAAATGGAAAAGCATCTTGTGTTCATGAACTGGAATATTTTATTTAAAAAATAGTATAGTATCAACATAAGGATAGGCATATATAGATCAACAGAATAAAATTGAAAGTCCAGAAATAAAACTTCATATATATGGTTAATTGATTTTCAACAGGATACCCAGGCTATTAATGTGGGAAAAACAATCTTTTCAACAAATGGTGTCAAGAGACTGGATATCCACATACAAAAGAATGGAGTTAGACCCTTCACACCATATAGAAATATTATAACGGACCAAAGACTTCAATACAAAAGCTAAAGCTATAAAACTCTTAGAAGAAAATATAGGGATAAATATTCATGACCTGAGCATGGAGATGGCTTCTTACATATGTCAGAAGTGCAAGCAACCAAAGAAGAACTCAGGAAGTTGGGCTTCAGCAAAATGAAACATTTTGGTCATCAGAGGATATTATCGAGAGAATAAAAAGATGACACACGGAATGGGAGAAAATATTTGCAAATCATACATATGATAAGAATCAGGTTTCCAGAATATCTATCTATCTATCTATCTATCTATCTATCTATCTATCTATATCTCTTCTAACTCATCAACAAAAAGACAAACAACTGGGTTAGAAATGAGCAAAAAAGTTGAGTAATTATTTCTCCAAAAAAGACTTACGAATGTCCAACAAGCATGTGAAAAGATGCTCAACATCATTAGTCATGAGGGAAATGCAAATCAAAACTGCAATGAGCTACCACCTCACACCAACTAGGTTGTCCATAATTTAAAAATCAGCAAACAACAAGTGGACAATGTGGAAAAGTGTGAACCCTTGCTCATTGCCGGTGAGAATACAAAACGGTGCAGCTGCTGTGGGAATCAGTCTGCTGGTTCCTCAAGAAGTTAAACAAGGAATTACCATATGACCCAGCAATCCCCCTCCTAGGTCCATCCAAGAGAATTAAAAACAGGTCCTTGAACAAGTACTTGTGCATGAATGTTTAATGCAGCGCTATTCATAACTAAAAGGTGGAAACGGTTGCTTCATACGTAGACAAAAATGAGGCATATCCGCACAGTGGAGTGCTATTCAGCCATAAAAAGAGAATGAAGTTGTGATACATGTCACAGCATGAATGCATCTCCAAACACTATGCTCAGTGAAGAAAGCCAGGCACAAAATCACATATTGCATGACTACTGTTTACATGAAACATCCAGAGTACATAAATCCACAGTGGCAGAAAGCTGACCAATTGGTGGTTTCCGGGAGCTAGAGGCAGGGGGAATGGGGAGTGACTGCTCGATGGGCACAGTGTTTCCTTTAGGGGTGATGAGAAGGTCTTAGAACTAGATAGAGGAGACGGTTGCTCAACATTGCGAGTGTACGAGACGTCAATGGAGTGTACACTGAACTAGCCGATGTTTAAGTTATGTGAATTTTACCTCAATTAAAAAAAAAAGAGGAAGAAGAAGAAGGGGTACAGACTTTCTTAGAAAAGCAAAAACAGAATTCATTGCCAGGAGACCAGCACTACAAAAGAAGAAAATGTTGAGGGAAGCTCTTCAGGCCATAAGAATATGATACCAGGCAGAGCTTGGCTATACACACACAAATGAAAAGCGATGGGGAGGAAAAAATAAAGGAAATACAAAGAATACTTTTACTTTTGATTGCTCAAAAAGATAAGAGGCTGTCTAAAGCAGACATTGGCAAAATTTTTTGTAAAGAACCAGATTGCGTGCATTTTCGGTTCTCTGGGCCATAAAGTCTGGGGGGCAACTTTCAATGCTGCCATCACCATGCAGAAACAACCATGGATGACACCTACTATGCCTTTGAGTGTAGCTGTGTTCCAATGGTACCTTATTTACAAAAACAAGTGGCAGGCTAGGTTTGGGCTGTAGCTTGCCAACCCCTGAATTAAAGCAAAAGTAGCAGCCATGTATTATATGTGAAAGTGCAATGTATGACAACAATATACAAAAAGATAGTTGGGAAGGACATGCTGTATAGTCTTGTAAGACCCTTATACTGTATTTGGAGCACTATTATTTTTAGGGTAGATTGTGATTAATTAAAGATAATATATATATGTATATATATATATAGATATATGTATATATACATATACATATATTTATACATATTTAAGTTTATTTTATTTTTGAGAGGGAGATAGAAAGCACGAGCAAGGGAGGGGCAGAAAGAGGGAGAGAGAATCCCAAGAAAGAGAGAGAGCTACACTGCCAGCACAGAACCTGATGAGGGGCTCAAACTCAAACCATGAGATCATGACCTGAGTCAAGATCAAAAGTCAGATGCTAAACCAACCGAGCCACCCAGGCACCCCTAAAGATATATATTTTAAAACCTAGGATAACCACTAAAATTTTTTAAGAGGTATAAGTTATAAGCCTGTATGGAAATAAAATAGGGTCATAATAGAGTCATCAAATATACTCAGTTAATCCAAAGAAAGAAAAAGAGTACAAAGGAAAGACCAGGTGAAACAAAGAGAAACATCTAACAAGATGGTAGATTTGTCTTATTATCTTATGTGTAAGCTATTATCTTATATGTAAGCAGCCTAAATATACAAACTAAAGACTAAGATTGTCTACTACAACTATTTGCTTTCTATAAGAAACCCACTTCAAATACAAAGACATAGAAAAGTAAATGGAAAAAGATATCCCTGTAAACAATAATCAAAAGTGTTGGTGTGCTATGTTGATATCAGATGAAGTAGACTTCAGCACAAGAAATACTTCTAAAGATAATGAAGGATGTTACATAATGACGAAGGAGTCAATTATCCAAAACGATGTAACAATTCTAAACATGTATGCACCTTAGAAAAGAGCTTCAATATAGGAAACAAAACCAATAGAACTGAAAGAATAGATAGGCAAATCTCTGGCAACACT